TTTTTTTTTTTTTTTTTTTTTTTAAATTGGTTCTTATCTTTGAAATACACAAGCAGTTCAAGACCTGGCAGCGTTGGAGTTGCTCTCTCTCCATTCATGAATTAGCAGAACCACTCCATTCCCATGTTACAATAGAGTTGATAAAATTTGGAAGAAATGCCCAGTGCTGGGAAACGGGCTTTTGTTCAAGTGGACTGTTCGTGGAATGGACCATAAGAGGAAGCCTTGCTGAAGTTTTGCTGTTGCACTAAAGTGTATTTTTTTTTAGAAAAGCTAGGAAGAGCAGAATCTGGTGTGACCCACTGTGGCATACTTGATCCACTTAACAGCACAGGTAAAAGCAGTGATTACTGTAAGATAAAAATGAGATGGAGAAGGGTTGGAATTTGATAATCTTGGCCAACTACTTTGGTTATTAAGAGGGAGGCAAAGGCTGTTTTTCTGTAGGTGAGAGGAATAGGGATGTGTAAGATGAGGCAAAAAGTTGAAAACTGTGTAATGAGATGTTCCCTTCTGGATTTGTGGAAATAGAAGGGGCATTAGTAAACACTGACAAAGGAGGAGATACTAAGGAGGACATGGATAACCCTCTCTTCTTTAGACCTGACCTAATCAGTTAAGGTGTTTAAGTATATATTCTTTTACCATCCTCATAACATTGGGGTATAATAGAATTTGGTCTAGCACATGCAAGGCTTTACGGAAGCAGGATATGACTGAATTGTGTTATCTTTATGCATTGAGTATAAAGGTTAGCTTTAGATCGAGTTAACTTTGCAGCCTTTTGTACGCTGACGATAACAGCAAAATCTATTTCTATTAACTGAAAGCACTTTGAGCCCTTTGGAAGTCTAAATAAAAATGAACCCAGTGAAGCTGATGCCATAGTACATTTAGGTTTCCATACTGATTGGCTCGTAGAATGGAGTGAGAAGGTCTGAAGGGCTTTTGCACCACATAACTTTGGTAACGCTTCCCTCCTTGCCCAATTACCGGTCCTGCTGATTTCTTCTCTAGTTAATAGGAATCAGGTACGCTTGCCATTTCAGAGCTGCTATGTTGCATGGTGCTTCTTTCTGTTTCAGATGTTCGTATCACGGCTCACAGCTTACTTCAGAAGAAAATGTGTAGCAACGACGGATGAGCGTGTTCAAAAGATGAATGAAGTTCTCAATTACATTAAATTTATTAAAATGTATGCCTGGGTCAAAGCATTTTCTCAGAATGTTCAAAGTGAGTGCAGATGCTCTATGAATGTTTCCCTTTAGCAAACACCCTGTTGTTATGACCTCTCTTAGCGCATGTCAGTAGACATGACTGCACGTAAGCCGTGCTAGAGCATCCATTCTTCTGGCTTGTTGCTTCTGTTGTAGACAGATTGGAGCAGCAGTTTCTATTCTGAAGTTCCTCTGATCAGCAGAATGCTCTTTGTGGCCTTTCGTTGACCGTTAGGTATAACCGCCTTCATAAATATTGGGTATAAAGGTTGAATACTAATCTTGACCAATACTGTACAAATTGCCCAGTTTTTAAACATAAGAAGAGTAATTGGACCTCTGTCTTCATTGAAATACGCATCTGCTTATGGTTTGTCTCTGTAAATATGTAGCTTTTCCTAAAACTCATGTAACCTTGTAAGTATTACAGCAGAAGAGGTTGCATCTGCTTTACCCAAAATGTTTCTAAAGCATTGGTTGCGTACGCTGCCTGTCCCAGTTGTACCTCAAAGGTGATTGTACTGTTTGTATTTCTAGAAATCCGAGAGGAGGAACGTAGGATCTTGGAGCGTGCAGGCTATTTCCAGAGCATCACGGTGGGCGTAGCTCCCATTGTTGTGGTAATTGCCAGCGTGGTGACATTCTCTGTCCACATGATTCTTGGTTATGACCTCACAGCAGCTCAGGTAACAGAGTGGTTCATTGCTGAGCTAACTTATCGTATCATATCTTTATTGTCGTAGCCTTTCTTGGTTAAACTGTAGAGAAATAATCCAGATTGTGAAAGTCATCTTTATTTTGTGCCTTGGCTCACAGAAGTAAGTATTAGGGCTGTGCAAAGCTTCGGTCGCTGATTTGATATGGCAGAGATTCAGCCTGTTTTGGTGACTGAATTTCCAAATCCGAATCGGGAGACCCTGTAATTTTTCCAAATCTGAACTGATTTGGAAAGATATGATGATTCAGACATAGACACAGCTTTAAATGTTTTTTTTTTTCTAGGTACCAGGCAGCTCATGAACGCTGTGATGCTGGGGTGGATGGAGCGTTCCACAGGAGTGCAGGAGGCTCCCCAGTGCACTCGGCAGCAGACCTGGAAGCAGACCAGAAGTACTTCCATTCCACTTCTGGGTTTGTCGCTGAGCAGGTGTGGCATCCCCTGTGCTCCTGTGGGACACTCCATCCTCCCCGCCATTGCAGCATTCATGAGCCAAGCCTGGTACCTTGAGGTATGTAGAACAAACTTTTAAAGCTGCGTCTATGGCCAAATCACTGATTCTCTGAATCGGCATCAAATCTGAAGACTTGGATTTGGCTGAATTGAATTGGGGACATAGATCCAAATCAACTAATCAAATCGCTGTCCCTGATTCGGGCCGAATCCAAATTGAATACAGCCTGTTTTGCACAGCCCTAGTGAGTATATGGTGGCATAAGATAGTAGCAGGTGTGGTGTAACTTTCCACACCTGGCTCTTTCACTGGTATTTCAGGCTTCCTGGAGCAGGATTTAAGGGCCAGATTTTAAATTGTGACTAACCCAGTCTCTCTTTGTGTCCTGAATTGTATCTGTGCTGTCTTTTTTTTTTTTTGGAAACATTATTCTGCAAAAGGAAAACTTGGCCATCAGTTTTTTTTCTTCTTAATTGTGCAGTTGCAAGTAGGATTTTTCTTCTCTTGTGACCTCTCAGGCAGGATTTGAACCAAGGTCTGGAGAATTGGCAGGCGAATATCCTATAACTTGCTGGATTTGCCATTGGCAGTGGAACTGTGGGTGTCTAGGATATATATTTCTCCAGTCCTTTCTAAAATATTGGGATGGGAAGGAGTCTGCCCTTTTCTATATTGGGTCAGAGCCTGTTGAGTATATAAATAGTTCCTCAGTGACAGGCCTTTCCTTCAAGTGGAAGGGTCTTGAATGGCTTCTGCCAACGGAACTTAGCCCTCGGTGGCTTTGAATTGCTGGTGTGTATTGCAACCGAACATGGTTCTCTTTGTTGTCCTGTGTA